ACTATCAGTAACGAGATGTTGTTTTTGACTCAAACGTCGTAAGATAAAATCAGAGATACGGAGAGGTAGAGTGAAAGTGAAGAACAAAATTACAAAAGAATGAGAGAAAGAGGGAACGAGAGAAAGAGCTTGAGAGAAAGAGAGAGAAAAAAACCGGGGAAAAAGAGCGAAAAAGAAACATGCACGCTCCGTGAACTCGAAAGCGCCGACTAAAGCGTTTTGTTACACCGCTCGTACCGACCTTGCCTTATAGAGATATAGATTATAATATATATATTTCTAATATATATGTGTGTGGATATCACATAAATTATTTTCTAACAATATCGTCCCATTAATTGCATTAATTTTATTCAATTATTTGGATCTCGCAATATAGGGCGAGATGTCAGCATCACACTGGCCCATAATTCACAAAATTCACGTTAGTCGACGATATCATGTCCAATTCTAGCAATTTTAATACTTGCAACATTAATCCAAGTAATCTCAGTTGAGCGAGCGTCATCTTCTTACGTTAATACTATCAGAACAGGTCACCAGTTACGCTTTATCTTATTACAGAATTAATGTTCATGACATTAATGTGAACTTTGAGTACGGGTCAGTGCAGGGACAATCAACTATATGAAACATATGTGCGCAGTGCTGTAAGATTGACGTTACAATTGGCAAAATTTCAGTTTCGTGAAATTATATCGTCAAAGGAACGCATTTGTTGCAATGACGATTAAATAAAATAAATAATTATATTCCTTGTAAAATATTAAATTTTTATATTTTCTTGTCAAATATATCGTCAATTTCAGAGCACTCTTATATGCGATGCTTGCGTATTGCAAGCGCTATATAATCCTAGAGAAGAAAGAGAATATTATATATCATGCGAGACTAGCGTATGTCCTGTTGCCGTACAATTGCAACAATCGTAGGACGCCCATTATCTACATCGCAATGCAGTTTGGGATAAGCAATTTGAAGTCGAACATTCTTTGTACATGTGGACACGCGAAGAAGGGTGTATTGTACATCCATTTAAAGAGCTGTACATGTAACTGCATATTGTACGGACCTTTGACAAGTTCATAAAATTAAATTATGTACAACGTACTCTCGAGGCACGAACTCTCGACACGCAGAATTGTGAGCTATGAAAATATTGCAAGGACATTGCAAATATTGCAAACATAAACGTCAAGTGTCTCATCAATCTCGTAGATTGATTGAAGAAGCACTCATTTCACGCGTACTGTATTTAAAATTAAATTAATTAAATTATAAAAGTAGCTGTACCTAATAAAATTCCGAACCGGGGAAAAAAAACTGTTCTCTCAATTTAATTTTATTGGAAATATTGCAAACATAAAATCGTTTACTCCGTCAAGTGTCTCATCAATCTCGTAGATTGATTGAAGAAGCACTCATTTCACGCGTACTGTATTTAAAATTAAATTTGCAATAACATAAAAGTAGCTGTACCTAATAAAATTCCGAACCGGGGAAAAAAAACTGTTCTCTCAATTTAATTTTATTGGATTTGGCGTTATGCTGAAAGAAACCTTTGTCTTGCGTAGCACTGCTTGCGTACTGAGAAAAACAGCGAGATATATAAAAGAATAGAAAATAATATTTTCTGTTATAAAAACGATCGTGGCAAGTGAGTGTAAATACTTATTAGTATTTCTCGGTACGTCAAGCAGTATTAGTTATATCTGAATTCTTTTTTTGTAAAACAGTAAATAATTAATTAAAAAGAATATCATTTCATATATTGTTATGCATATGTGTATCTTATACTACGGGTATAACTCTGGTGAAAACCTCTGCAAGTATTGATCACATTCAAGACATATTTGTTAAACAGCGCATTATTTCAATATATTGTACAATTCTTAGAGAATGGATGATACTTTGTGCAACGGTTTGGCTTAACACGATTACGCTCTGATTTAACATCAAAATTATTACGCTTTGAATGTGATCTCGTTTTTACTTCCACTAGTGCCAATTACATACGTTTTGCATTATTGCTTGAAATCCTATTTTGAAGTAATTAATGGAACGTAATAAAAAGCGATATGAGACGTGTCTATTTAAACATCTCCAGTAAATTGCCCGTTTTATAAAAACAGGTGAGATAAAAATTTGCTAATTGAATGAACATTAAAAATAATTATCTCATAAGAAATCTCAAAAGTATATCATTATTTTATAAATTATAAATTGCACGAATCTTCTATTAAATACATATAAATTAATTTTCAAGAGATACTTTTATTTCAAAAATTCCGTAAAATTTGTCAGGAATTGTTATTTATCAATTTATAAATCAACGTTAATATGAAAATTTGTTAAAAATCTCATTAGAATTGAACAAACAAAATTTGAGTGTAATAAAAATCATCCAAGCATTGAACAATATCGTTCACTTTTAAATTTCTGAAATTGTCAGTTGACAAATGAATTTTTGAAAAAGCATTGTTTAAAGTGGTTTCAGTAAACAAACCCAGTTTATAACTTTTTTATCCGATTTTGCTTGATCGTATTGTAAATCAAAAATGAAAAACTGTTCAGCCAAAACCAATTTATTGACATCGTGAAAAAACTAAATAAAGTTTACCTGCGCTCTATGACTGTACTATGATCCGAAAAAAGATAAAAATTTATAAATTCTATTATGCTGCTCAGAATCATTGTAATTGTACGATTTATTCAAACGGCAAATATTTATAATCACAAAAAAGGAAGTTGCTTTAAGAATTTAACGTTTCATTCTTCAAGAAGTAATTAGTGCTCTAATTATTAGAAACTCTAAATATGGCCAAACGTTGAACTATCAAAATTTGTCACCGAATATATTCAACTATTCGAGAATATTGCGCGTAAGCTGGCGCATGTAAACCGCCAGATATCAATTTTCGTTCCTTCCGTCAATGTTAACAAAGATTAGTAGTGAAACTATGTCCCAAGTTACCTAAGATTCTAAGATAACTTATGACATCGATAGGTGAATATCCTTGTTCGTTATATGTTTAAAAAATTAGAAAAAAGGAATTTTGACACATGCATCAAAATTATATTTTGTTCTGTGCGAAGATGTAGTAAAAGTATTTATATAGTAATATATAAGAATTAAATTTATCCATTAATTTATTTATTAAGTTTAGTTATTAAAAATTGATATTAAAATCATCAAAGAATATTAATTAACTTATTTTTAGGCTCACCCTATATATGTGTTATATATATATATATATATATATATATATTAGTTAGGAATAACAACTGTGTATTAAAACATGTCAAAAGAATATACTTTACGAGTATACATTATATAAAAGATGTCAAGAGAATATATTTCACCTAATTGTTTTTCATAATATTATTCTTATATAAAGTTCATACAAACTTTGCTTAATTCCGGCAGAAAATTTACCAATTTATTAATAAGAGCTCCTAAAATAATTCCAAATTTCCCATAAAAACGTCCATGTTGATACATTATTTTTTATTACCAATTACATAACGCGAAAATTTTTTTCTAATAGCGGATTATCCCATATGTGATTATCCATAATGGACACTATTAACTGTCTTCTCCTGCAAACTTCTTGTAAACTCCGTGGTCTACCTTGGATGGAATTACGCAGGAAACTGTATACAAACTACAAACTATTGAGAAACTAATCGCATATCCCTCTGTTCGTTATCGGGCTCAAAACTTTCCTAATCGCGGAACGGATAATAGGCAGAGACTTCTCGCACTTCACATGGGTTCTTCCAAGTACTTCGTATTATACGTAGAATACAAATCCAACTTATATAAAGCAAAATATGGAGCAATATTTCATTACAAAAGCTAGTCGTGTAAAGTTTGAATCATCTAATTAAATTAAATTCTTGATTTTTCCTTTATGTATAATTATCTGTAATAATTTGCATATATAATATATATAACGTAGCGGAAATTTTATTAGCTGTTTATTATTATAAGCTCTATCAGGATTTCTAAAGTTCCTCTTGTTAGATCAGAAGATCGTGAGAGAAACTAAGACAAACTATTTAAGCGATTGATAGATCACGCTTCGAAGCATGTCCCTAGGTTATAATCAATAATAACATACAAGAGACATAATATTAATGCTTGACTAGAGAACTAAGTTTAATTTTATAATGGATATATAGTTGATTATAATTTGTTTACAATCTAATTATTAATTTATATAAATCAATAAATAGTAATTAAAAATTATAAATATGCTTGTGTAAATAATCTCTCAAAAAATAAATTAGTAAATCATAAATAAATAAATAAATAAATAAATATTTTGATTCGACATATTTAAAGGTTTAAATATATAAATTATATTTTTAATATTGCATATTTATCATCCAAATCTACTCTAATAAAGTATCACGATAATATTATAGAAATTCGCGAAACCATTATATGACTAGTGTATTCGCTAATAAAGCGTATTGAAAAAAGCCTAATTATCTGCTACCTACATGCATAATTACTTATTGGAGCTACAAGCTATCTACTCTATAAGGCTTAAGTTCGTAAATCAATTTCGCTCGATAAATTTAGCAGTATCATTGGAAGAAGGCATAAATTTATTCTATTGGAAATCCAGCTCTCAATTATGTCTTGAAACGAATGTATTTTTGGCGATTCTATGAATACGCGATCTAATCGGATAAACTACTTGAGATCAAAATCGAACGTCTTAAGACTTTCGCGATCGTAGGGCCGATAATGGGTTTAAGCGACGTCTAGGCGTGCTCTCGGTAGACGAGGAAGCGCTCTTAGACTTGGAAGATTTTGACGCTTTAGACGTCTTCTCTTTGCTCGTGGTAGCTGCAGAGGTTTTCACCGGTTTCCCGGGTTTGTTCGCACCACCTCCAGAGCTAATGCCCGTGGAGGTTGCGGATGATGCGGGCTTACTAGACGCGATAGTGTTTTGGGAATGGGTTTGGGTGTTGGGTCTTACTTGTACCTCGCAGGGGGGCGGCGCGCTCCTGTACGACGGCACAATCTTGAAAGTTACAGATCCTCGTGCCTCCCGCTGTAACAGTCGAAAGAGATCGACTCTTTAGATATTATGTCTATGAGAAAGCAAAAGTAATGACTTATTTGAATAAAAACGAGTACAGACTCGAGATTTGTGTGTGTAATGGGTGTGTAATGGAAGAAAAAAAATTATATATTTTCCAATAATAAAATGATATCGAATGATATGTTGCTTCAAAATATAACTTTTGTTAAATTTACAATTAAAATTTATATCAGTTATAATATGTCTTTTTTTTCAAAGGAACATCAAATTATATTTATAATCCAGTTTACCAAAAAGAATTTTGTATTTTTTAAATTTCACCCACGATTGTGAGGGTAATTTTATGATAATACTTACCAGAATCTTTTGCAAGGCATTAACGGATTGATTCTGAACTGGTATACCATTGATTTCTCTGATCTCGTCACCAACATGAAGAGTGGCTTGTCTATGGATCATCCCACCATGCATAATCCGTGCAACAAAGCATTGTCCATCTTCGTTCATTTTTAATGTGATTCCCTAAAATGTGACAGAACCACACGAAATAAAATAAAAATGGTAAATGCAGAGCACGTTAGCGATAATCAGATATGAAATTTTTGTTGGCAATGTGTTTCTGAATGTTAATGCTGCGTTAAGCCGCATGTATAGTAAATAATAATGCAAATTTAAAATTAAAATTTCTATGATAATATCCAATCGTTTATTTTGTACTGCACATAAAAATTTAACATTTATCATTTTCAAAATATGAGATATTGTGAATAGTCTATTGTATTTTTTTTTTATTTGTCTCACAACATAAAATAATATTTGCGACATAAATCTTTTAATATGATACATTTTAACTCAACGTTTGTATATTTTATTCTTTCGCTGAAAATTGTGAATAGCATTTTTCCTTAACAAATGTATATATCTATATATATTGATATTATTTCACGTAAAAATCATGTCACAGAGAGAGAAAGAGAAAGAGAGATTGCAAGTAAATTTCATATAGTGTCGTAAAATTAAATACTGGTTTAAAACGCCGTCTCGTATTGCCGAAAAGGCACGTTTCTGCAATTACAGGTGCTTTGAAGTGCTACTCACCATCGGCTCATCCGTGTTCTTCTGAAACTGCACCAGTCTGACGCGAGTGATTTTCTCGTCTAAATCACCGTTTTGTCCTTCGAGGTCGTCGCCACCATTTAGATACGTGAGAAGCGGCGGTGGTGTTACTCTGGTGGCTTCCTCGCCGTAGACCTCGTGGCCGGCAACATCGTGCGCTTGTAAGAGTGCCTGAAACAGAACGCAAAATAAAATTGCAAATTAAGCTACTAACGTCACTATCTTCCATGTAGCAAAATACATAATCAATTCGCCATTATGATAGAATCATACTAAAGAGAAACCTGTTTTCCATATTTGATGCAGTTGAATTAGTCGAATTATGCGCCACTTTTTAATTATAATAGTTACCATGATAATAAGGGATATTTTTGTTATATGCAAATACATTTTATTCGTAAAAAGAATTTTGATAGTTCGTTAGTCATGCAGTTTACTTTTGCGATGCTGTCTCATAAATAAAATGATGATTCCAATTGTGAAAAAAAGAAGCAAACAATCAAATTTTGATTGCTGATTGTGTCCTTTATGCAGAACGTGATCTAAATATGAATATTGAATCTCGTTATCGATAAAAAAACATTGCTTTTTTCAGATTGTTATATGGTCATATCGTATACACAAGCATATAAAAAAATGTTTTACATATTGCACATATTGACTATATTAAGGAAAAAGTTATATACTTTTTGAGAAAATATATGCTACATATAATTTTTTATATAACATGCAATTATCTCTCTTTGTCAATTATTTAGAGACCCTACATGAAACATGAGATGTCATATTATACACATGCAATATTTTTCACATGGAAAACGTGTATCGCATAAGTAGCAATATGTATAGATGCAGGCGTTACTATCAAACTGAAAGAGCGTAAAATATGCAGTTTAATTTACATTTAAATTATCGACTTTCATTAAAATTCAAATGTAAATTCTGATTTTAATAACGGGATAGCATACATGATAAACAAATAAATGATCGCTTTCTACTTTACAAAATGCATATTAATAAATGCACTTATAAACATCATGTTTGCTGCATATTTTATTTTTTTCCTTGTCAAAAATATTTTACTGCTAAATATATACATACATACATATATAGTTATATCTATATTTTTGTACTATATGTGATATTATAGCTGTAAAAAATATTGTCTCCCAAAAAATCTATTGCATGTACAATATTACATTAAAAAAGTATATAATCTTTTATAATTTGACAGCTTTTTATTGAAGTTATTAGTAGAAATATCTTATAGTAAAAAAGATATGTATGCATTTGACATACATACAAATAAACTGGCTAAAAGAAAAGTGCTCTACGAAATTTATGATGTTTACGTCGACTGTACGTTGAATACATAATAACTTTTCACGGAGCATATGTAAAAAATGGCAGATAACATTCGAAATTGATTTCGAGTATTGAGAACTAATGGCTAAAACTTATTTATCGCTTTAATTCAAACATTAGTTTATTTAGTAATTAAAAACTAGTAAACACTTTTTTTTTATGTTTAGAAGGTAAATAATTTTTTATTCTAACGATGTGTCATTTTTTAAATAAAATGTAAAAGATTAAGATAACTAAACAAAATCTTAATAAAAGTTATGGTTGCATACCGCTATACTAATGTGGCAGATCATGAATATTTTAAATCTTGCTTATCTTGTAAAACGGATTTATTCATATAGTCGAATCTCTCCGATGTTTAATATCGGAAGCTCCAAAGTTCAAGTATTAATCTTAATATTTACTAAACTTATTATTTACTAAAACTTCAGCAACAGCTTTCCGCGTTACATGTTACTATGACGATCGTAACTGCGGTTGTAGTTCAATAACAGTATTTGGATACTGAGTTCTAGTTGTCGGCCGATCAAGCTTAAAGCTTAATCTGTTACGATCTCCGAAATTGTCTCGGGCGAATTTGACTTGCTTGCGCTGCGAACTCTAGTTTGAGAATTGTACGTTGCTTTGATACGTTGAATTACATGTTTGCATAATCCTCTGTCGCGGATAATATCGCTTCTCTGCTAAAATTTACACTCGTGTAGAAACTTCCATGTATAAGATGGTATTTAATAAAAGAGCAATCGTTTAAATGTATCTCTCGTCTTATTTTAATTCAATTTGAAAAAATATTTTCTGCATCGATTACTCTGAATTTCTACAAACTATGCTTAAATATGCATAAGATAAATCAGCGTATATTGTCACACGTGATATTCATATGGGATCATGGAAACGCTTTGTTCATGGACGTAAAGGATACTCGAAGGGGTTACGTACGAGCACTTTGTCCAAGGACAGTACTCGTTCACCTGAAACGCGGCCAAACTCGTCATCTACGACCTAGTTGATAGCAACGACACGTCTCTATTTCTCCTTTCTCGCGCGTCTACTTTGTATGCAAATCGCACATGGAAAAAACATATTTCAAATACACTGCAAATAGAACGAAATATAAAGAAAAATGATAAACTCAAAGACAAATTATTCGCTATGATATGTATGCATATAAGTCGCGTTTCAGGCGAGAAAAATATCTGTAAATATGCTTTAGATTATATTTGAAATATTTTTAAATCTCGATATTCAATATGGCTCAAGTAAGAATTCTAGGTTTTGTAGCTATCAACTGGCGATTTGTCACAGAAAAGTGAGAAAATATAAAGAACAAAATAATCGTTGAAATAGAAAAGATAAAACTGTTATAAAACATAAATAATGAATTAATCTTAGTACGATTACACGACTGTATTTTTGCCTATTTGCTGCACCATCTGGTCAGAGTAAGCACAGCCAATTCAAAGAAAACGAGAACGATCGTGGAGGTTATTTAGATACTATTTGTTCACAATGCCGTTAATCAAATGCCGTTAATTACATTAGCACCATCGGATATTCATTAATTAAGGCCAGCCATGGAGCTGCCAGGGAAAGGGCAACAATGTCCATCAAAGTTTTTTTTTTTTTAGTAATCTATTAGAATTGAAGAATCTATCGTATAACTTATTGTAATTACGCTATATACGTTTCACTATCATTCATTTTTATAGTGGAATTCTTTTCTTCAAGGTTTCTCGACAATACATACGAGTGTCAAAGAAACCATTACATATTCATAAATTCTATGTTGAAATTGCGCACTTGAAATGTTTTCATTCGGGAAACGTCTCATTATCATAATTTCAGAACGCCATAATGCATAATATTGTTAGGTATATATCTGTAACAGTTACAAATAGCTTTAGCAGACACTCGGAACTATCTCGCAAAGTGTAGAGCTGCTGCGATTTTGACATACGAAATGGCAGCACGCGAGAAATCCTGCATAACGAGAGAAAAATATCAATCGCAAACTCTGTGGAAACATCTGTCAATTATTTTGATATATATTAGAATGCTGGATATATAATTAAAGTTTAAAATTAAATTAATTAATAACGCATAATAATAAGTTAGAGTAATAATACATATTTGGCTCTTATAATATATCTTTATAACATTTTTGTATACATTTAAATAAAAAAAGAAATTTAGAGGTATAATATAAGGATAAATGTCCCATATATATCAAAAAGTTTCGATTTTTATTTGATAATAGCGAGAGGGTTATTGCAATTTCGTTTCAGATATTAATACGCGCTCGCGCGCGCAAGCATATGCAAACTGGTCCTTGGATTCGGGGATAAAATAATATTACTCCATGCAAATTGAAGTGCGATGTATCCGTGGCTCTGGCATCATTCGTACTCCGGAAGCCAATTCATCGGTCTGCAATATCAAGGGGAATAGAAGGGGGTGAAAGGGGTGGATGCGGTAAACCGCGACTGTGGGTTGCTTCAATTGCGGTACATATACGTTCCGTGTTAAAATTTATAATCATTCTTCTTCCGCCAAAGTTGAACAAATGGCTCGGATGGATGTTGCTAAATAATATTGGTGTGATAAAATTCATTCAATGTGCTCGTCAGCTATTATTTACACTACTGATATCAATTGCCGTCTATAATTGTGGTCTTAATGCGTGAGAAATATATATTTCCTTTTCGGATATAAAATAATTTTTCTTCGAAAAATATGGGTGAAAAAAAGCGCCAAATCGACGAGGGAACTGACTTAATCGCGAGATTCGAAAATCCGACTCAATCATCGTTTAGCGACTGGATATCCGCGGTTATTCCTGCAAGGATAGTTCTCTTCCAAGGCAAATTAAAATTCAATTATATGTAAATCTGCTGTCTGAGAAATCATTTTAGATTGGAGAATTATTAAATTAAAATCTATACAATGTGATCCTAAGACCATTGTTTCAAGACACTCTACAATTTTCGCGAATCTTTTAATATATTTTTTAAAATTAACATTTTAGTTGAAGTTTAAAAGAGACCCTCTTTTTTATTTATTACTTAAATTGATTGTAAGACTTATAAATTTCAAATTATAAATAATTGAAAATAAGTGATTCTAACAGAAATTAATTTCTAAAACTGTAAAATAGATAAAAAAGTGTTGCATTTCTTATAATTTTAAACTTTGGCTGAATTAGAATAGAACGAATTTTAATTTTACAATATCAAGATATTTAATATTGTAAGATAATAACTTGTAGAAAGTTACATCAAAAGATATTTAATCAAATTTTCATTAAGAAAAAATCGACTTACAATTGCTCAGAGTATGAAAGAAATATATAATAATGTTTTGGAAGATCTAATATTATATGACTTTTTCGTGCTGCGGTATATTTTAAATTGCGGTTTTAAAATTGTTAATATCCATATACTAAAAAAATGTTATAGTTCCTAGATTTTTTTGCTGCGTTGGATATGTATTTATTGATGAAAAAATATAAAAAAATAGAATAAAACAGTTATTTAAAATGTTACAGTTGCATATATCTGTGAAAAATAATCTTTAATTCAATCGTTGACATAGCATAACATCAATATTTTTAACGCTGCAGTATACATTGTGTATGACCCAATATTTATCAGATTTGTCTTATTGTTCGTCAAAAACAATTTTGCGATATTGCATTAATAAAATTTAAATATATTCGTCGATAATATTTTTACATAATAAACTATTGCCCACAAAACCGATTAAGAAAAACAGATAATGCCGAAATCTGAATGAAATATAAGCTGATA